CTAAACCCTAAACCCTAAACCCTAAACCCTAAACCCTACACCCTGAACCCCAAACCCTAAACCCTAAACCCTATAAACCCTAATCCCTAAACCCTAAACCCGAAACCCGAAAGTCCCCTAAGCTCCCCCGAAACAGGCCTGGCGCGAGGACCCGCAGGTGACTGTGGAGGTCGAGGTGCCCCCAGGCCGGCATCTTCTGCCTCCCAGGTTATGGCATTTAGGGTTTAGGGTTTAGGGTTTTGGGGTTTGGGGTTTGGGATGTGTTGTTTAGGGTTTGGGGTTTGCAGTTTGGGGTTTGAGGTTTAGGGTTTGGGGTTTCGGGTTTTGGGGGTTTAGGGTTTAGGGTTTTGGGGTTTAGGGTTTGGGGTGTGTTGTTTAGGGTTTGGGGTTTGGGGTTTGGGGTTTGGGGTTTAGGGTTTGGGGTTTCGGGTTTTGGGTGTTTGGGGTTTGGGGTTTAGGGTTTGGGGTTTGGGGTTTCGGGTTTAGGGTTTGGGGTTTGGGGTTTAGGGTTTGGGGTTTAGGGTTTTGGGTTTGGGTTTAGGGTTTGTTGTTTTGGGTTTTGGGTTTAGGGTGGATCCGAAGTGGCTGAGTTTTCGGTGGATCCGAAGTGGCTGATCCTCCCCCAGCATACCTCCGAATGCCACGATTCCCTAGAGGCTTCAGCCTTTGTACTGAGCACTATTCCTTAGGTTCCAAACAAGTCTTCAATCTTTCTCAATAGCTCCTGCCTGGTTTGAGAGCTGCGAGGTTCCGAGCCCACCTCCCCCCCATAATTAATTGCGTTGCAGGGGCGTCCAACCCTTGACCCCTAAACCCCCTTGCGGGTTTCAGCGGTTCAGGGTTTCGGGTTTAGGGTTCAGGGGATCTCTCTCCGATGGGTTTATTGTCTGAACTTCGGCCCCCCCGGCCGCTAAACTTCTGGGCCTGGGCCCTGAAACCATGGGTTTAGGGTTTAGGGTTTAGGGTTTAGGGTTTAGGGTTTAGGGTTTCGGGTTTAGGAGCCCACTGCCAGATACCGCCTCCAGCCGAGCTTCCGAGGTGCGCGTGGCCCGGAACTACCGCAGGGAGGTTGTTCTACGTTTAGGGTTTAGGGTTTAGGGGTTTGGGGTTTAGGGTTTAGGGGTTTAGGGTCTCTGTTATGGTGTATTCCTTCTTCAGATCTCCTGTTTCCTTGTACTTTGTCGGATACCAAAGCTCGGGGACCAGAAATTCCATCTCCTCCCCAGACATGCAACCCCACGCCCAAGCATCCCTCCTCCATCCTGCTGCCGTTGTCCAAGGCTTTAGATGCTTTGGTGTAGGGTTTAGGGTTTAGGGTTTCGGGTTTAGGGTTTAGGGTTTAGGGTTTAGGGTGACCCTTTGTTCAGAGGCTCCGGAAAACGCCAAGTCTGTAGACCCCGAAGGTTCAGGGTTGCCAGGTAAGCAATTCTCTCGAGAACCACTCTAAGCCCCAAACCCTGAGCCCTGAGGCTTAAACCCGAAGCTCTAAACCCTAAACCCTACAAACCTACAAACCTACAAACCCCAAACCCCAAACCCTAAACCCTAAACTAAACCCCCTAAACCCCCTAAACCCCCTAAACCCCCTAAACCCCCTAAACCCCCTAAACCCCCTAAACCCCCTAAACCCCCTAAACCCCCTAAACCCCCTAAATCCCCTAAACCCCCTAAACCCCCTAAACCCCCTAAACCCTAAACCCGAAACGCGCCAAACCCTAAAGCTCAGCAACCCTCCGCTGCCTCCGCAGTCTCAGCGAAGCATCGCGCCGCCAGCTCAACCTCAGGCGCCCCCTTCCAGCGCGAGTTTAGGGTTTAGGGTTCAGGGTTAGGGCTGAGGGTTTAGGGTTGAGGGTTGAGGGTTTAGGGATTAGGGTTTAGGGTTGCGGGGTGCAGTTTTTTTTTGTTCGTCCGCCTTCCTTTTTTTTTTTTTTTGGGGGGGGGGGGGGGGGGGGGGGGGTGGGTGGGTGGTGGGGGTCAGGGGTTCAGGGTTTAGGGTTCAGGGTTTGTAGGGTTGAGTTTCGGGTTTAGGGTTCAGGATTTAGGACGGGTGCTAGGGTGCAAGGGTTAGGGAGGATGTCTAGGGTTTAGGATCTCTACACCCAAAACCTTAAGCCCTAAACCCTGAAATAAGCACTGGCTGGCATTAAGGGAGGGATTAGGATTTAGGGTTTAGGGTTTAGGGTTTAGGGTTTAGGGTTTAGGGTTTAGGGTTTAGGGTTTAGGGTTTAGGGTTTAGGGTTATATGGTTTAGGGTTTAGGGTTTAGGTGTGAGTTGCCGGAGGCCCCAGCGGCTGTCGAGCATGTCACGGGCATCGCGGGAGCCTGAGTAGGTTTTTGAGTTTAGGGTTTCGGGCTTAGGGCTTAGGGTTAGGGGCCAGGGTTTAGGGTTTCGGGTTTCGGGTTTAGGGTTTCGGGTTTCGGGTTTGGGGTTTAGGGTTTCAGGAGGGTTCAGGGCTTTTGGCGCACATGTTCTGCAGAACTCCGGGTGTGTAGGAAGCTCCGATGCTCACGATGCTGTTCTTAGTGCGGGACGAGTTATCTAGGGGTTATTTAGGGGCCACTTAGGTATACAAAGGGGCGATACAAGGTATGTAGAGGGGTTATATAGGGGAATAAGATTAAGGGCCTCTTCCGGAGGTCCCTCCTTTAGGAAGTTTCAGGGTGTAGGGTTTAGGGTTTAGGGTTTAGGGTTTAGGGGAACCCCAGACAGGGAACCCCAAGAATAGAGTAGATTGCACCGCCCCTATGTTCCTTCTGAGCTTCGAAATGCTTGGAGGTTCAGGGTACTCAGTAACCCATGATAAGTGCAGTTATAACCCCCTTAAGTACCCTAGTAGGGTGATAGTTGGGTTATCAGTACAGTTATAAGTGGGTTGCTAAGTACCATGAACCTTCAAGTAGGCCTAAACCCTAAACCCTAAGCCCTAAACCCTAAACCCTAAACCCTAAACCCTAAACCCTAAACCCTAAACCCTGAACCCTGAACCCTAAACCCTAAACCCTAACCTGCCTTTGATACCGCACCACCGCCACCACCTTCGCCGCTGCGCAGGCCCCGCCAGCCGGGACGGGGCCTCCCGCCGCCGCGGCCGCCTCGGCGCAGACCTCGGGGGGGTTTTGTGGGTTCAGGGTTCATAGGGTTTAGGGTTAGGGTTTAGGGTTTAGGGTTTAGGGTTTAGGGTTTAGGGTTTAGGGTTTAGGGTTTAGGGTTTAGGGTTTAGGGTTTAGGGTTTAGGGTTTAGGGTTTAGGGTTTAGGGTTTAGGGTTTAGGGTTTAGGGTTTAGGGTTTAGGGTTTAGGGTTTAGGGTTTAGGGTTTAGGGTTCAGGGTTCAGGGTTCAGGGTTCAGGGTTTATAGGGTGTAGGGTTTAGGGTCTAGGGTTTGGGGTCGGGTTTATTAACGCGAGAAGTTGCCATGATGGTTTCCTATTCCTCGGTGCCTTTGCTGAACTTTTTCGGGCAAGGGGAGAGGAGGTGGAGGGAGGAGGGTTGGTTTCCTTTGGCTTCGAAGCTTAACGACTTTGGGCCCAACCCTAAACCCTAAACCCTATAAACCCTGAACCCTATAAACCCTGAACCCTATAAACCCTGAACCCTGAACCCTAAACCCTAAACCCTAAACCCTAAACCTTAAACTTCCCCCACGTCCAGCTTCGTGCAGACCCTCGGTGCGAGCGCCGCTTCCTCCGCGCGGTCGCAGGCGCGGGTTAAAGGTGTGGGGGGGGGGGGGTTGCGGGTTTGTGGGTTTCGGTTGTAGGTTTCAGGGTTTAGGGTTTAGGGTGTAGGGTTTGTGGGTTTAGGGTGTAGGGTTCAGGGTTCAGGGTTCAGGGTTAGGGTTTAGGTTTAGGGTTGAGGGTTTAGGGTTCAGGGTTTAAGGTTTAGGGTTCAGTGTGTAGGGTTAAGGGTTTAAAGGCTTTGTAGCCCAGTGATGCCATTTTCCCTTTTTTGGTTCAAGGTTCCCTTACAAAGTAACCAACCTCAAAATGGGTAACCGTATTGTAATGTGGTTGCTGGGCTGCCAAGATGGTGTGGCGGTTGAGGATTTTTGGGTTTAGGGTTTAGGGTTGAAAGGTTTAATTAGGGTGTAGGGTTTAGGGGGGTTTAGGGTTGAAAGGTTTAATTAGGGTGTAGGGTTTAGGGGGGTTTAGGGGTTGAGGGTTTAGGCCCCATCCAAGCGATATGGAAGGGTCTTGCCTTGTGGGGCATGGGGGGATTCAGGGTTACCCTAAACCCTAAACCCTAAACCCTAAACCCTAAACCCTAAACCCTAAACCCTAAACCCTAAACCCTAAACCCTAAACCCTAAACCCTCAGCACTTAAACCCTAAGCCCAAGTTACTTCAAATATGTCGAGTCGAAGTCCTTTCCAACTCTAAACCCTCGGTCCCGGGTTTTTCGGCCCCTTGAGCTTAGGCGGCATTGTTAGGGCTAGGGGTTAGGGTTAGGGTCTTGAGAGTTTAGGGTTTAGGGGGCTAGGGTTTAGGGTTTAGGGTTTAGGGTTTAGGGTTTGGGGTTTAGGGTTTAGGGTTTAGGGTTTAGGGTTTAGGGTTTAGGGTTGCGGGTTTCGGGCTTAGGGTCCTCAGCAGGTTGATGGCGAGACGTTAGCCGACCAAATTCTTGCCAAGATGGCCGTGGTGGCAGCCTCAGCAGCAGCAACCAGAAAGCCCTCAACCTTCCTTTAACCCAAACCTGGAACCTTGATAGAGGGGTCGGAAGAATTACTAGTAGAGTATTTCGTTATGGTTCCTTTGTAGCTCTACGAAAATAACCACCAAAACTTAAGGCACCTGTATTAAAGGAACCCATCCGAATAGTGGAGGTCTAGGAAGGCCCTTGTGCTCGGCCTTCGCCGTCCTTCCTGGATGTTTCTGCAGCAGGGCTGAGAGTTTTCAAGGGGCCTCGTCCCCCAGTTCATGCCTTGCCTTGTCGCCTCTCGCCGAGGCGCGTGGCCTCGACTTGAGGCACCAGAAGAGGGCCCCGAGGGGCCCCCTGTAGGCCGGCCATGTGTCGCCTCTGCCTGCTGCCCTTGGCCGCCTTGGGCGTGGCGGCTGCCGGGTGCTGGGACAGCGCGGACACCGACCAGGGCCTGGCCGGCCTCCAGGTGCGGAAGGCGCTCGCGACGCCGATGCCGAGCCTCTGTGACCTCACGCCCAAGACGGTCCCAGTGGACGGGCACGCCCTCCCGCTGTCGTTCAACGGGACCGTGAACAACCTCCACTCGGCGGTGCAGCACATCATCCATCGGTACCTTGGGAGGCTCTACGTGACCTACGTCTTCAGTGTAGGGAAGCATGTGCAGTACTACTACCCCACCTTCTGCACCATCCCCTGGGCAGCAGGTACTGTTGAGCCGCCTTGCCAGGAGGCCGTGATCAACGCGGCCATCCCGCCCGGCGGCTACTCGGACATCGCGGTGGCCCGGATCAACCACACGACGCACGTGGTGCTGATCGCTGGCGATGCCGGCACCGCTCAGGATGGCAGCAAGAAGACCACGGACTCGGTCGTCGTCTTCTTCGACGGCTCCTTCTCCGCGCCAACGACGCTGGAGACGAGCAGTGCCCCAGGCACAGGGCACAAGGCCGCCCGGGGCGCGGATTTGCTGTGGCTCCCGCCCTTTGCCGACGACAGTGGGGAGCTCATTTACCCAGAGGGTCCCACGGCAGTCGTCTCAGGCGAGCTGGGCACGCAGTTCTTCGCTCCGCGGCTCACAGGCGCTGGCCTCGCCTACAGCAGTAAGCCGGACCTCACGCTGCCTCCCCAGGGCACGACCGTGAGCTCCAACCTGGCCGCGGCCCTCGTGGACAGGACCCTGGTTGTCACTGCAAGAAGCCGCTGGAATGATGCCTACAACGAGACCACGGTGCTGGATGCTTCAAACTTCGTCTACAAAATCCAGGCCAACGGCACGCTGCAGCAGGCCACGAGCTTCTCGAAGTCCTGCCAAAGCGTCGACGTCACGAAGCTCAGTAGCTCAGGTGCTGAGTGGGTAACCTTTGATCTTTTGGGGGTACTGTAAACCCCCTTAAATCCCAAAGGTTAATATTTTTCCTCCAGAGAACTCAGCCGCGAAGGTAGCATCGCCCCTTACCTCTTCGTGGTTGCCAACGGTGGCGAGGCGAACTACGCCCAGCCGAACCAGATGCTGTCCATCCCTCCGGGCACGGTGACGCCGACGCCCGTGTCGACGTGCGCGCCGCAGCAGGCCAGGGGCAGGGGTTTAGGGTTCAGGGTTCAGGATTCAGGATTCAGGGTTCAGGGTTCAGGGTTTAGGGTTTAGGGTTTAGGGTTTAGGGTTCAGGGTTCAGGGTTCAGTTTTCAGGGTTCAGAGTTTAGGGCAGTGTGAGTCGCAATCAGCCCTACGTCTCCCCGCCCTTCTCTCGGGGGAGCTGATGGTTGGCAGTACCTTACCTTGCTTACTGGATGCATCACTCCAGAGGCATTGGCCTCCCGATTGAACACCTCTATCCCCCTTTTGAGTTTTTTGTTTATATAAAGCCCCAGAGGACATTAAAAACAGTGTTTTTGTTAAGGTTCTAAGGGGGGTATGGGTTCTAGTATGTGCCTAAGAAAAGCACCTTTTGGGTAAGATTGGTATGAAAGGGGGTATAGTATTTTTATTAAGGTTCTTAGGGGAGTATAGACGCTGGTCAGACTTGCGACTTAAAGAAGAAGTCCCTGCTCTCCTGCTCTGCCATGGAGCGGGATGCTCCCTCTTATACTAACAGTGCTTAGCCGGGAACCCTAAACCCTAAACCCTAAACCCTGAACCCTAAACCCTAAACCCTAAACCCTAAACCCTAAACCCTAAACCCTAAACCCTAAACCCTAAACCCTAAACCCTAAGCCCTAAACCCTAAACCCTAAACCCTAAACCCTAAACCCTACACCCTACACCCTAAACCCTAAACCCTAGACCCTAAACCCTAAACCCTAAACCGTAAACCCTAAACCCTAAGCCCTAAACCCTAAACCCTAAACCCTAAACCCTAAACCCTAAACCCTAAACCCTAAACCCTAAACCCTAAACCCCAACCCTGTAATCCCTATTGGTATATTGGGGAACATCCCCAGCTTTCGACTGCACCTATTTTTAGTGCTGCGCGGTCCGCCTCGGCCTCTTTCTACTGAAGGGCCCATCTTTCGTGAGCTTTGAGGGCATTTCATCATGCTTGCTGCGGTAGTCTTGCCATTGTATCCGTAGAACTGCAATTGTTGCTGTTGCTGCTGTGGTGGTCGTTCTCGCTACTGTTAGCACTACTGTTTTCATCATGATGAAAAATACTGTTGCTGCTGCTGCTGCTACCATTAGCATCGTCATTATCATCGCTATTCTTGCTATGCTTATTGTTACTATTCTTATAACTTATTCTCATTCTTAATCTTCTTCTCATTGTTCTTATCCTTATTTGTATTTTTCTTATTATCCTTATTTTTCGTATATTATTATATTTTTTTAATACTCTTATGTTTCTCGGATTCGGGTGTGTTTTTGCTTTTGTTGTTCTTCGTATTTCTGCTGCTATTGTTATTGCTGTCATTCATGGCCATTGTCTACGCAAATCAAAATGGCGATCGGCACTCTAAATCTCGTGTAGAAGTGGGAAATAGTCTGGGTCGTTAGTATTTAGTTACTCTTGTTATAGTTAGCCATCGTAAGTCTCAGTTAACCCTGCGCCCTAAACCCGAAACCCTAAACCCGAAACCCGAAACCCTAAACCCTAAACCCTAAACCCTAAACCCTAAACCTTAAACCTTAAACCCTAAACCCTAAACCTTAAACCCTAAACCCTGAACCCAAACCCTAAACCGCACTTATTCTTGGCCGTCCCGCACTCCCGAAGGCGATACAGGCCAACCTCAGTTGTGAGACTGGCTCGGCTGCTACCGGGACCCCTGTACCGACGACTGATGCGGACGACTTTGACACGAGGTCGCGCAAGGTCCTGAAGCTTAGTGTTGGTTAGCAGGGAATTGGGGAATATGGTACCATATATCCCCTGCATACCCTTTAAGAGATTATATATGGTACCTTATTCCCCCCATTCCCTAGTAATTCACCAACAGTAAGGAGCGCCACCCACGAGGGCAGCACCTACCTGCTCACAGTGAACAGCTGCCAAACGTCCTACGTCACCCGCTACAACCGGGGAGTTGCTGTTGAGCTTTTTCAGCTCGAGGGAAGCCGCGTCTGCGGCGAGAACGAGGACTACTTCGTCCGGGGTGGTGACATCGCTTGCTTCGCAGGCCTCTGCCGCGTGGCGCTCACGCTGTACAATGAAAGTACCTACTTGTACACGCTGCCGTGTGGGCGGCCGTATGCCCGGTGGCAGCGGCTGTATCATCGATGGCGCCGGGCCCGCGGAAAGTATGGATCAGATGGGCCCCGTTAACAGCAAGGGACACCAAGGGAAGGAGACCACCGAAGTATGCACAAAATCCTGAAATGGCCACCTCCAAGAAATAAGGACTGCGGACAGAGCCTTGGTCAACTGGCCTGTTTTGCTCTCCTCTCATCGTAGTGGTTACTGCCAAGAGCTGTCAATGAGCAGCTTTGCACATGGTTGGCATTTTGTGTTGTTGGTCGGTATGTCTTCGTGCCGCCCTCAGAAGTAGGCGTGGCGCAGCCAGTCAATCCCGTTCTTTCTGAGCCAAAGATTGCGAGATTTCATGTAGGAGCTAGTTCTCAGCTTTTCTCACACGAAAGGCATGCATTTCCTAATCATAGGATTTTGAGGTTTTGGGTTGAGGGTCTACGGACCCCCCCCTCCCCGGCCGCAAAGCTAAAGGAACCAGAAGAACAAAAGGGCCAAATGAGCCTGGATCAGCCGTGAAAGACCCTCGTGGCCCTGGGTGAGTGAACATATGGTTTAAGGTTTAGGTGTTGAGGGCTTTAGGGTTTAGTCTAAATCCTGTACCCTAAACCCTAAACCCGAAACCCGAAACCCTAAACCCTAAACCCTAAACCCGAAATCCCAAGCCCTGATACACCAGGATCAGCCATTCCTGATTTCCACCTCAGGGAAGCGAGCTTGCACTGGTCCTTTGGCCCTCACCTCCCAAGCACTCCAGAGCTTGCGCGCCCTAAAGCCACTCCTGTGGACCCCTAGAACCCTAAACCCTAAACCCTAAACCCTAAACCCTAAACCCTAAACCCTAAATCCTAAACCCTCAGCCCCAAAACCCAAAATCCTAGACCCTAAGCCCTAAACCCTGAACCCTAAATCCTAAGCCCAAAACCCTCAGCCCCAAAACCCTGTACCCTAAGCTTCGTTCAGGTTGTTGTTGGGTTCGGGTCGATTCTCAGGAGGGCGCCGACACGGACAACTCCTGGGACGAAGGCCCCTCGTCGGCATGGATGCTTGGGGTTTAGGGTTTAGGGTTTAGGGTGTGCGGTTAAGGTTTAGGGTTTAGGGTGTAGGGTTTAGGGCAACCATCGGCTTAACTAGAGTTTAGGGTTTTCGGCGTCCCAAAGCCCTAAACCCTAACCCTAAACCCTAAAGCCAAAAACCCTAAACCCAAACCCTAAACCCTAAACCCAAAAAAGGAGTCCAGACTCCCAGCTGGATTTTATGGGCCGTCTAGTGGCTGCCAATCGGGGTCATTTTGGAGCACTAAATTTGAGGGTGTAGGGTTAGGGTTTTGGGTGCAGGGTTTAGACCGGCATAGGGGGTTAGGGGTTAGGGGTTTAGGGTTAGGACGACCCTGCAACTTGGGATGTTCTCACTTCTACAACAGTCCTTAGTCGGGATTCTCGTCGGGGGTACGAGAATCCCGATTTTGGACTGTTAGTGTAAGGGGGAACATCCAACCCTAAACCCTAAACCCTAAACCCTAAACCCTAAACCCTAAACCCTAAACCCTAAACCCTAAACCCTAAACCCTAAACCCTAAACCCTAAACCCTAAACCCTAAACCCTAAAACCCTAAACAAAACCCTAAACCCTAAACCCTAAACCCTAAACCCTAAACCCTAAACCCTAAACCCTAAACCCTAAACCCTAAACCCTAAACCCTAAACCCTAAACCCTAAACCCTAAACCCTAAACCCTAAACCCTAAACCCTAAACCCAAACCCTAAACCCTAAACCACATCCGCAGAAACTCTAAATGGATAACGTGGGCCATGGTTGGCCCCTTTGGGCCTCTGCCATCGACTTTTCGGCGTCGGGCACAGGGCACGTTTTAGGGTTTAGGGTTTAGGGTTTAGGGTTTAGGGTTTAGGGTTTAGGGTTTAGGGAAGTTCAAAGCCCTGCAGGCATTCCCACCATCCGAACGAAGCTGGTTCAGCTTGTAGCTGATGATCCACTTGCAATGTGGAGCATGGAACTTCCGCGGAGCTGGTGATATTCCACTCATGTTTCTGTGGTGCTTTACTGTAGCTTTAGATCCCTAGCCTTTTTGGGTTTATTGGGTTTCTTAATAAGCCAGCTAAAAGTTTAATTTTTAGCTACCCTCCTAAGTGCAGCCAAGATGCTTGTCGAGTCTCCGAATCAGGGTTCAGGACCACCTCAGGCCTCGCTTGTCCCCCGACCACGCGAAAACCCGCAGAGGGGTTACGTTTGCATGTCAAGAAACGCAAAAACACGACGGTTTTGGCACCGCGCCAACGCCGAAACCCGCAAAGGGGTTACGTTTGTATGTCAGGAAACGCAAAAACACGACGGTTTTGGCACTGCGCCAACGCCGAAACCCGCAGAGGGTGTCCGCGCGCGCGAAAAAAAGTACCAAACACGATGGTTTTAGCACCGCGACCCGGCGATCAGCCGCAGAGGGTTGTCCGCGCAAATCAAGAAACGTAAAAAAACGACGGTTTTAGCACCGCGACCACGATGAAACCCGCAGAGGGTTGTCCGCGCACAGAAAGAAACGTAAAAAAACGACGGTTCTAGCACCGCGACCACGCCGAAACCCGCAGAGGGTTGTCCGCGCAAATCAAGAAACGTAAAAAAACGACGGTTTTAGCACCGCGACCACGCCGAAACCCGCAGAGGGTTGCAATCCCGATTGGCGATGTCAACCCAGCCCGCCGCCTTAGAAAGAGTAATTTTAATTAGAAAGAGTAATTTTAATTTAGAAATCTAGGACTGGGTACGAAGGTCTACTAAATTCTACGTAAATCTCGCACTTTCTATTCACTTCAACTTCACTCTATGCAATTCACTCTATGCACTTCACTCTATGCAATTCACTCTATGCAATTCACTCTATGCACTTCACTCTATGCACTTCACTCTATGCACTTGACTCTATGCACTTGACTCTATGCACTTGACTCTATGCACTTCACTCTATGCACTTGACTCTATGCACTTCACTCTATGCACTTGACTCTATGCACTTGACTCTATGCACTTCACTCTATGCACTTCACACTATGCACTTGACTCTATGCACTTCACACTATGCACTTCCCTCTATGCACTTCACTCTACGCGCTTCACTCTATGCACTTCACTCTATGCACTTAACTCTATGCACTTGACTCTATGTACTTCACTCTATGTTGTTGGGTCAGAGGGCTCCGCACGGAAGAACCCTTCGCGATGCTTTCGGGAAAAAGATCAGTTAACGCCAGAGAGAACCCACAGAACGCAATGTGTCCAGTGGACTTGGCTGGCGATTGCCGCAGCTAAATCAGTTGATATGTGTGACCCTTCTAGTTTCCCAGTTGACACGTGATGTGCACTTGTGAAGTTGCCTCTGAGTGTGAAGCATAGGCACGAGGACATGTCAGGCAGTGCAGCTTTGTTTTGGCTTGGTGAGAACTTGTTTTGAGTAGGAAGAACTTCCTTTTATTCGTTTTCTCGAAACTCGTTTTGTCGAAACTCGTTTTTCGTTTGTGACTTGGTGTCTTGGTGACTGAGAGTGATGCAAGCCAGTGTAGAGCTGTACGAAGCTCAGCGGAGCACCTAAGATAAGAGGTGCTAGGAACCTGCCCACAGTGTTTAGGAGTAGAAGTTCCACGGCTGAGTGTTTTACCTGAAGTCCCTTCGTTTTTCCACCAGTGGCGGACTGTGTTTGAAGCTGGAGAGCCGTGCTCGCTTGGCTCAAGACGAGCGGAGCTCGAGAAGCTGTGAACAGCGCAGTGAAAAGAGTCCGCACTTTGTGCTGTGAGGGTTGAGTGTAGTCTTGACCTGGGGTCCCTTAGGCCCCGTAGCTGTGCCACGAGTTTTGGTTTCGAATGAGGATCCTCAAGTTCGCTTTTTTGGCCCAACAATTATAGGTCCGCTGATCCTGTGCTTGTGGAATAAGCATCGAGGTCTCATTCTGGGTCTAGGGCTTGTGCGGTAAGGGATTGGAGCGAGTTGAAGTTGTGTGGGGTAGGCCTAATGGGACCCGCCTAGGCAACCCAAACCACAGTGCTCGTAGTGTTCTGATTCCAATTCTGATTCTAAACTAAATTTCTATGTCCTAGCACAGGAGGATGTGGGCAGTGGGAAGTGTCCTCCTCCACTGCCACTAGAACAGTTGCGCATTCAGTGGATGAGTTCAAAAGCCAAAATACATCCACAGCATCGCGAACAATGAGAAAAGGAATCGAAACGATGTCCACGTGTTGTAGCAGTCAGAAAAGGTCACTTCCCTATTAATACCCTTCGAGAATCAGCCGCCATGGTAATTGCACAACAGTCGCTGCTTATAGGTTTTGAATTGGTGGCAATATATACACGTTGTTATTTGCTGGAAACTCCACGCGATGATAAGAGGAGCAGGAGCCACAACACAGATTTTCAGAAGAACACAGCGAGCTGCAGGATGTCAATGATTTTGCAAGCGAACGCTTGTTTCAATTCGTTCAGCCTGAAAGGCCGGCAGAGGATACTATGCCGTATGCACAGACGGTGGCTGTCGCACGCAATCCTGCAGCTCTGCCTAGCTTTCGATGTGATGTGGTACTGAATGGTGTGGCGCAGGCTGCCTACGGCGATTCAAAGGCCTCTGCCAGTGCCGTGCAGCTAAGACGGCAGAGGCGTGTGTGTAGTTTTTTTACTACGGTAGAAACCACAAAGTTGGAACATAAATTATAGTCCTGATGCCCTTAAAGCAAAGCATAAGGGATCCTAGGACTAGTTGTCCTGGATGCATGTTCCAACTTTCTGGCTGGTTGTCTGGGAGCGTGATGCAATCAATGCTGACTGTGGTTCCCAGCATTGCATCATGTTGTTAGCATTTTGTGCTGACGAGGAGCGAAACGGCCTTCTACATATTCGAGAGTCGAGCTAAAACTTGATAACGCAAACTTTATGGTTATCCAGGAATAGAAGTTCTCTTCAGTCACGCTGATTGTTCGATTTCTTGTATTTCTCAGATCTTTCTTCTAATATTGGTATCTTTGTTGTCTTATTTTGATATAGATCGATGTATTCGATTCATATGTCAACAGTAATTT